GGCGGAGCGCGGCCGCACTCACCCATCCTGCGGCGCCCGCTGCAAAGAGGAGGCCGCAAAGGCTCACGGGGCGGTTTGTGGGGCGGAAGTCTCGCGAGAGGCGCCCTTCGAGGGCGTCATCACGCGGCGACTAGGACTTGGGGGAGGGTGCGTCACATGGCTGCGCCCGGGGGAGTGGTACGTCATCACACGGCGACTGGGCCCTGCGGCGCGCCAAAGGAAGCACGTGGGTGCGTGCACGTGCCCTGGGTCACGTCGAGTCCCGGCCCTGTCCCTGCGGTTAAAAGAGATGCGGTGTTGTAGACAGAGGAAAGAAATGGTCTCGGTTGTTGTGGCGGATCTCGGTGAGGTTTTAAGTGTATATGTTCATTAACTTTAAAAAAAAAAACAAAAAGTCAGCTCTGTCCAAACCGCCCAGACCTCAGAGCCACGGGACAGCCCCGGGTATCGCCCCTGCCCCCGGGATACAGGCGGGCCGCGGCCGCCAGTGCCCTGCTGCTGCAAAGAGGGGTCCTGGGCACTGCAGAGGAAGGGGGATCTCCCCCAGCCCATATCACTCTGATGGGGGAAATTCCTTCGAGGCCCCAAATCTGGCATTGCTCGGACCTGGAGTGGAAGGGCAAGACCCTCTTAAGTCCTCTGGGTTTGGTCCCAGCAGGAGCACGGGCACAGCCCAGCGATGCCTTTCACATACCAGTAATTCCTACCAAGGGCTGTGGGCAAAATCCGCAGAGCGCCAGTCATTTTAACTCCTGTCTTTCTCCTCCTTATAGGGTTGGCTTTAGCGTCAGAACCGGCAGAGCTAGGGTCAGACTCCGTGAGGTCTGACTGACTGTCCTGCATTCAAAAGTTGGTCTAACTTTATCTCAACGACATTTTTTTTTTTTTTAAGAAATATTTTTTGTGTTCCAAACCTAATCAGACGAATCAATTCCAAATCCGTGACACGTGAATCATTCAAGAACCACGTGTGGCCATACTACCAGCACCCTCACCGGGGGCTTCAGATGTTTCCAAATCCTTCGGCAGGCATCCTGTGTTTGGGGTTCGGATGCTCCCGGGTTTCGCTTGCCCTCAGCCGTACGGCCACAGGAGCAAGCTAGGGAGGAGTCTTCCAGTTCCATAAAGTGGGCATAAAGCCAAGGTCTTCCCACTGGAAATGAAAGAGGGAGGTTAACTATACATTACCTCCACCCCATGACAGAAAAGCGGTTATCCCCTGTCCCTAGGAAAACTGCCTTAGTGATCACGGTATTTCCCCAGCCAGGTACATAGCTGGTCCCTGAAAGGATATCCTTGGAAGAAATCCTCACCTCTCATCTGGGCCATCACGGCTACCTCACTGCTGCGCTACCATAGTCGGACTCCATGTGATCCCAGGTTAGGATCACTTAGGACTTGTCACTGCGACAAATAAGGCTAAAAGCTCTTTTCATTTTGCAAATGAAGCTTACGAGGTGTGCCCTGCTTCTGAGCTACCCAAACAGCAGCGAGAGCCCCTATATAAATCCACGGTGCGTCTACACCTTGACTCCTGTGCCCAGTCCTGGTCCCTGCACCTCCAAAAGGAGAAGGAAGCAGTAGAGAAGGATCAGAGAAGGGCGACAGGGGTGATGATCAGTGGTACGAAGAGGCTTGCCTATGAGGAGAGGCCTGTTCAGTTTACAAAAGAGACGCTTGAGGGGGGAGGTGTTAATACCGGTTAAAAAAAATACCAAGAGGAAGTAGATAGGGATGTATGATTTACTTTCTCTCACAATACAAGAACTAGGGGTCGCACCATGAAACGAGTAGGTAGGAGGTTTAAAACTAACAGCAAGAAGTTCTTTTTCACGCAGCGGGTGATTAAAGCGTGGAGCTTGTTGCCACGAGACGTGGTGGAAGCTGAGAACGTACCCAGATTCGCGAAGGACTGGACATGTTCTTGGAGGAAAGGGGCATCAGTAGCAGGGGAGAGAGGGGCACGGCGCTGAATCAGAATTTCCTGGACCTTCAATGCTGGAGGCTGCAGGGGGGAGAGGAACAGGGGAAAACCCCTGGGCAGACCCATACAAAAAACTAGAACTCTTGGTTCCAAAATTATACCTTTTATTAGACGAACAGGGGAGTTGCAAGAAAAATGTCCTTTTCTGCAAGCTTTCGGGATCAAAGTCCCTTCGCCAGCCTCTGGCAAAAGTACTGATGGTACCAAATGGTAAAAAGTCCCTACAAGTAGAAAGTGAACTTCACTTTTGCACAGAGGAAGCTGAAGATGGAAGGCTGTCCCTCTGGGTCCATGAGAGTGTCTTTGTGAGCTGTGTTGAGTAGCTCTTTGATGTGTAGATTGGGTAGAATTGCTTCCCTGGAGGTGTCAGATGGCAGGAGGGAGGTAAAAACAGCTCGTCGTTCTGCAATGAAGTTTAAAATCCAAAATCCAAAATAAAATCCAAAAAAAAAAGAGTGGCAGACCTGGTTACTCTCCCTTCCAGCCTCCGCTCCCTGTTACTGTCATGCAGGAGACAGGGCGGGACGGACCGGCGTTCTGACCCCGTGAATGCTAGTTCTGTTCTGTCCTTGCTGTGTCAGGACTTTGGCAGCACCCTTGGCCCTGCTCTGTCTGGGACAGGTTGCAGCATGTTCGATGTTTCAGCCATTGTAGCAAGTGGTTGGGTGCGAGGGTTAAATTCCAAAACGTTAAAGCATGGATTAGAGACAAACCTTTGCCTAGGATGGCGTAGACAGGGTTGGCCCTGCCTGGAGTCCAACTAAACGTGACCTGCTGCGGACCTGCCAGCCCGGCTGTTCTGTGCAGTCACAGGGAATCGCACGCGGGACGGAGCAGGCAGCCTGTAGAGTTTCTGTTCAAGTTTGGGGCTTTTGCTACGTTTCTTGAGGGAAATGGCTCTGGGCTCTGCTACTCCATGACTAGGAAGATGCACTTTGAAGTCTTAGCTGTGTCTCAGGGGTTCGTGCCGGAAACACGCTGATCAGCGGTGAGAGCTGCAGGCCCAGTGGGCTCTGGAGCTCTGCCGCGTGACAAGTACAACTTCATTCTTTGTTGTCGTGGGGGTCGCAGGTGTCACCCACCCCGGAGCGGAGGGGCAAGCACAAGCACACCAGCAGTGCCCGATGTAGCAGGCAAACTGAGGTATGCTCAGGCTTTTAGCATAGTCCAGGCCTTCCCAGAGCTAAGCAACACAATTGAAGAGACGCCTTCTGTGGCACTGGGAGATGCGAGTGCTGTGATCGGGCACCGGGTGAGCAAGGCACGGCAGGTTTCCCTATTAAAAAGGTGGCTGGCACAGTGCCAGGGGATTGGTGCACCAGATAAGGAATGCGTGGCACAGAGCTAAGGGCCTGGACAATTTGGGATGAGAGGAATTACAAAAGTGATGGACAGACAAAGGACCAGCTGTGTTTTGTGCCGCCCCCCTGGGGAGACAGGAGCAACCTTGGACTTCGGGCTAAGTGTGGGACAGGGTTACCCAGCAGAGGATCTGAGGCCGGTACCGCCAAAGATCACTGTTGTAACGCCTAAGGAGCCGCTTGCCAGGTCATATCGTGGGGAGGAAACCTGTCATACAGATTAGGGATTACTATTAAAAGTTCACTGGACACCAAACCGGATGAGGGGCCGTGTCAGTCCTTGGGGGGCTTTGGCAAAAAGAATCCTAGTAGCAACAATGGGCGAGCCAGGCACGGAGTGACGGCATCGAGTTGGCAGCTACAACCGACGGGCAAAGGTCATCTCTAGGGGCCGGAGGACAAGGGTAGCAACCTAGGACCCCGGTTTCCCTCTTAGTTCTCCGCACTAGGGTGCTAGAGAGAGCGAATTCTTGCTCAGATCAGCTCTGGGCAGGTTGATAAAAGGAGGCATCCTGCCTGATTCTGTCACTGCTCCCGCACAGCAGATCCCTGCAGCATTGGAGCATTTGTGAAGGAGCTGAAAATTGGTAAGAAGGACTC